TCCATCCCGTGTACTCCTCCGGCAGCCGCGCGGAGTAGGTGGACGATAAGACGGTGCAGATCTGATAGAAGCCGAAGAGGATCTTCAGCTTTGCCGTCAGGCCAATCGCGACGTACCAGTAGACGGCACGGTCCGCGAGGCGGAGCAGAAGGCCGATGTAGGACTTCTCCCGCCACTCTGTCATGCTGTAGCAATACGCCGCCAGGCCGCACGCGACGCAGAGGCCGAGGACGAGGCCGACGATGCGGCCAGCCGCCGCGCCGCGCGGAGTGCACTCCTGGCACTTGTCGCCGTCGACGAGGTAGTGATTCTCCGCGGCGCAGAGCTGGCACTCGGGGCCGTTGAAGTCCGAAGCGCAGTACTCCGAGCCCGCCTCCTCCATCGTCCGGCGGCGAGAATCGTCTACCGGCTCGCTGCCGGCGCACCGCGCCTCGCCGGCCCTTTCGCCCCCGAAGCCGCGGCACGCGGTCAGCACGGCGGAGGAGGGGCTGGCGCGCCAGAACCCAGGCGGGAGGACGAGGGACGAAAGGGTAGTGTTGTCCGGGCAGGCAGCGTTCGGCGGGCAAGGCTTGCAGTATTCGGCTGGGGATTTGTAGATCTCCTCCGGGTCGGCCACGGTGTTCCGCAAGTAGTAGTCGTCGATGCAAAACGAGCAGGTGGTACTGCCGTTGACCGAGCTGAGGGGATGAGGACACCGATTGCAAAGGCCCTGGCCGGCGTTGGCAGCATAACGACCAGCCTCACACGCGTCGCACGAGTCGCTGCCTCGATCCGACGAGGTGCCGGGAGGGCAAGCCTCGCACTTGGCCTGCCCCTCTTCTGCGGCGAAGGTGCCAGGCGAGCACGGCGTCGGCTCGACGCTGCCCGTGGAGCAGGCGCTGCCGGCGGGACAGGCCGTGCACTCGCTCGCGGCGGTGAGGTTGGTTGCGCGCGAGTAGCTGCCCTTCTCGCACGGCAGCGGCGCCGCCGCGCCCTCGGCGCAGTAGCTGCCCTGTTTGCACGCGAGGCAGCCTGTCGCGCCCGTGTCGTCCTGGTAGGTCCCACCAGCGCAAAGCTCGCACTTGGTGAGGCCAAACGTGACGGCGTAGCTGCCCTTGGCGCACGGCGTCTGCTGCGTCGAGCCCGTGGTGGCGAAGTAGCCCGGCGAGGCGGCTGTGCACTCGCTCGCGGCGGTCGCGCCCTGGTAGGAGCCCTCGGCGCACAGCTCGCAGACCTCGTTGCGCGTGCCGTTGGCGAAGCTGCCCTCGCCGCACGCCGTCTGCTCGGTGGCGCCCCGGGCAGCGATGTAGCCCGGATCGGCGGGCGCGCACTGCGACGCGGCCGACAGGTTCGTCTTGTCCGAGTAGGAACCGCCCTCGCAAGGCAACGGCCTCGACGCGCCCGGCTCGCAGTAGCTGCCCGCCTCGCAGTCGCGGCAGGACGTCGCGCCCGTGTCGTTCTGGTAGGATCCGGCGGAGCAGCGCTCGCACTTGGAGAGGCCATGCGTGGCGGCGAAATAGCCGGGCTCACAGGGCTCGCACGTCTCGCTGCTCTCCGCCCCTGGTGCCGCGCTCGCCGTGCCGATGGGGCACAGCTCGCACGCCGCGCTCGAGCTGGAGCCTCTGTTCGGGTTGAAGCTTCCCGCAGGGCAAGGCTGCCAGACAAGGCGAGTGGCGGCGCCCGCGTCCTCGCAGACGCCGCCCTTCGGGCAGGCTTCGCAGGCGGCACTGCGCACGTCGGGGGAGAAGGAGCCCGCGGCGCAAGGCAAGCACTCCTCTTGGCCGCTCTCTGGCTGGTATTGGCCGGGCGCGCAAAGGAAGCAGTCCGAAATGCTCGCCGCCCGCCTGTTGGGCATGTGGGTGCCGGCGGGGCACTTCTGTGGGAGGACGGATCCCTCCCGGCAGAAATGGCCGAGCCAGCAGGGGCCGCTGCAGTCGGAGGTGATGTGGTTCGACGCGTCCCCGTAGTGTCCCTCCGCGCAGAGCCTGTTGCAGCCGGACAGGTCGCCGTCGATCTGGCCGACGTTCGGCATCCAAGATCCGAGCGGGCAGTCCCACGTTAGAGGCGAGGCGGCGAGGATTGTGATGTTTCCTGGCGCAGAGTTGCCGAAGAAGGTCGTGTTGCGGAGGATCGAGTCGGTGGCAGCGATGCGGGAGGTGAAGAAGAGTGCAGCGGGGGTTTGGCTCGCAATGTTGTCGACAAACTGCGAGTTGGTGAGAGCTAAGCGGTCGACGGCAGTGAGATAAAGAGCCTACAAAAGAACACAGTCTGGTCTCCCGTTTCAGTCTGTGCACCCTCTTGTGGAGGGGGCGCGCGGCACCGCACGTGAGCCACTCGTGCAACCGACAACGCTGGACCCCTCGAGCGAGACGTCGCCGCTGTTCCACACAGACATACCTCCTCCGTCCTGCGCGAGTTGGGGCGGGCAGGCATGAGCGGCGAGGGCGTCAGAGAGCGAGAGAGGGCGGGCAGGCCCAGGGCGGCCCTTTGGGGAAATCGTGCCCC